AGAGTTTAAAGTAGAGTCAGTCAGTAAGACTTTCTTTTTTGAAAGAAAGAATTTAAGACTTTTATTCAAAAGTGACAGTAAATACAAAAAAAAAAAAGCTTTTTATTTATCCAAGAATCCTGGAAAAAAGTTTCCACAAAAATATTAAGCAGCACAACTATCAACTTTGATAATAATCAGAAATGTCCCATGAGCAGAAATTCTTCACGGGAAACTAAAATTCAGCTTTGCCATCAAAAGAATACCTGACATTTTATTCAATTCACAATATTACAATTTTTTCTGTAAATGTATCATATAAATTCAGCCTTGGAGAACATAAGAGACTTCCTATAAACGTTTTAATCTTCCCGACCCCCTAACTTTTGAATGTTAGTGTACATATACCTATTCATATCATGTAATCATCTTTATCCCTATGGCAAGACATTCCACCCACCACTGCCAAAGTAAGCTAAGGTGTTATTGCCAACTATTGGGAAATTCAGAGACCCTTGGCCTGACTTCACAGGGATTGTTGTTGTCAGATTTTGACCAAAGTAACTGAATATCTTGCTTCACGAATGTGCAAGACAAGAACAAATAACTTCAAAAAGCTCCTTAAAGACATCTTCTGTTGTCAGACCAAGGGTGTGAAGCTGTTCCTGTACCCTTTACTCCTTCAAGTTCACTACGTTCTGTTGTTAAAGATCGTTTTACATGACAAAACATAATAAACACAGTGAAGCCCAGCAATCTGATCTTATCAGATCTGAACAAAGCAAAAAGAAGACACCAAAGAGGTCACTGTCTTTAAACTGACGTAAAACAGCCAAACAATAACTTAATGTCTACATGATTCAGTATTAATAGAGGAGTAGTAATCAGTTTAGCGACGTTTACTTTGAATTAAAGTTTGATATTGTTTTGGTTTAGACTTATGTTTATCGTGCGCATTCTATCCTAATCAAGATTATTTTATGAAGTAACCAACTGTCTTCTTCAAGTAACATCATTTTTTGATTTGTGTCCTGCGTGCTGCAGAGGTTTACACTTGATTACAGAACGAATACACACGTGTCTGATATTATCATCATTTAGTTCTTTTAGACATTTGTATATGCCTCAAAGCACAATAAAGTCCAATTAGACATGCATCACCCACATTACTTTAACTATTGGTTGGATGCAATGCCCTGGGAGATGTTTAACACTATGTGGTTTTGCCTCAGTTCTCAATTAATCTCAATTCATCAGGTAAGATATTTCCCACATGACTCATGATGATCCACATTAGGTTCAGCAGATGAAGCTGAGGTGATGATGATGAGGGGGGTGTTAAATACATTTAGTTTGAGAAAAGGCCAGTTATCAGGCTCTATTTACACCAGGGATTAACATTTGTCTCATGGGCCGTTTACACAGTTTTCAACTAAAAACGTAACACTTGTTATGTGTTTTGGCCATTCATTTACACAACAGTGGCTATTTGGGGGAATACGGTGCACTTTTTTTAATTATACGTTTATCATCTCCATGTAAACTACAAAAAAGCGCTAATTTGTAAAAACGGTGATGTCATGTGCATGGGTATTACGTGTTCAGTCTATTAGTGTTTCTTTACAAGTGACATCGCCAACTACTGGCCTGACAGCAGAATACAGCGTTTTTTAGTCCTATTTGCCAATCCATGTGAATGGGAATCATTTTGCGAAAGATGCAAATAAAAAAAAAAAAATCAGTTTTAGTGCATCGTTGTCATGTAAATGTACCCTCAGGTGAAATATTCACAAATGTTCAAACGAGAACATGTTTTTGTTATCCAGTTTTCCCCTGGTACAAAATAAAAAAGCAAATACAACACGGTTCAAAAGTTTACAGGTTGGTACTTTTTTGAATAAAGTCTAATCACCAAGCCATTTATATGATCAAAAACACAGCAAGAACAGTAATATAGTGAAATATTGTTACGACTTATGTTTTCAATTTCAATATATTTTAAAATGTAATTTATTCCTGTGTTATTAAAGCTGACTCCAGTATTCAGTCACCAATCCTTCAGAAATCATTCTAATAAGCTTGTTTGATGTTCAAGAAACATTTCTGATGATTATGCTGCAAACAGTTGTTTTGCTTAAAACTTTTTTTTTATGAAACTGTGACATTTTTAATGGATGAATAGAAAGTTCAAAAGAACGGCATTATAAAAACAGCATATGTCACTTTTGATATAGTATACAGTATAGTTGATTCATTATATTACAGTTTGGACTGATTCTTATGAGACACATGCTACAGTATACTTTTAATATGATTTGACATCTGCCACGTTTTTGATTGCTTGCTTGTCAATTTATCATTCTTATGCCACCAAAGAGAATTATGGGAAGTGTAGTTGTGTAATGCAAGTCAGCATAAGCCAGCTATTTTTCATGTATTTATCAAAAAATGCATTCAAACTGTGCCATCACAAACTTAATGTGATCAATGCCTCTCAGGTTTTGTAATTAAATCTAAAATCAACACAACCCCAAATCAGAAAGTCAGGACATGGTGTAGGATAGCTAACCTATGCTAGCATCATAAAGCTTGAGCATGCTAACAATAAACACCATATGGCACTGTGCAAAACACCTGTGCTTGCCTAGGATAGAAGGAGAATCCTGTGAATGCTCCTTTTGTTTCAATGACACTTTGATCCATTTGTGACAACCTTGATTAAAGAGAGGGGTCAAAACATACTCGCATGCCTGCTCCTCACAGAGTTTGGATCCCCTTTTCTGCTTCTTTATCCATGGTCCACGGAGGCTTTAGTCCTCACAACACATAATGACGGTTTTCTAGCAACAGGCCAAAACAGTGTTATAAAGCTGGGCAGACCAGAGGTACGCTCTTGCATGTTGAGAGAGTCTCCAGTGGAGGGCTGGAGAACAGTTAGCGCATTTCTCTGTGTGTGAAGGCCTGAGCTTAGCAACAGCTTTGTCCTCTGCAAAAAAATCTACCAGTAAGAAACTTTTTCATGAATTAAACATGTGGAACACAAGGTTATAGAAATGTCCAAACATTATTTACTGAAGCTGTGTTATGTAACCTGAGACAAAAAGGCACTCTAATGAAGTTGAAATCATGCCAGGGGCTCGCGAAAACAATGACAGAAACTAAAGACCCAGTCATTGGATGGATAAACAGCACATCTAGATACTAATATATTAGGTTACATGCTGGTCAAAAGTTTGGAATAATATTTTTTTTTTATTAACCAACATATAATTATAATAATAATTAGCTCTCAAAGCACTTTTACATAAGGGGGGAAATCTCCTTAACCACCACCAATGTGCAGCATCCACCTTGATGATGCGACGGCAGCCATATTGTGAGGGGAACGCCCACAACAGTGATGAGGACAATTAGTGTATATATATGCGGACGATTAGCAGGCCATGATGGACAGAGGCCAATGGGCAAATTCCGGGTTACTCCCCTACTCGTTTCAAAAGATATCCTGAGATTTTTGTGTGACCACATAGTCAGGACCTCGGTTCAACGTCTCATGCGAAGGGCGGTGCTCTTTGACAGTACTGGGGCATCAGGTCCCACACAGACCACAGGGTGAGTCCCCCCTACTGGCCTCACTAACACCTCTTCCAGCAGCAACCTGGTTTTCCCAGGAGGTCTCCCATCCAGTTGACCAGGCTCAACCCTGCTTAGCTTCAGTGGGCAACCAGTCTTGGGCTACAAACAGATGATTTCTGAAGGATCATGTGACTCTGAAGACTGTAGTAATGGCTACTTTGTTATCACAGGAATACATTACATTTTAAAATATATTAAATATTGTTGTAAGATTTCACAATATTTTGATCAAATAATTGTAGCCTTGGTTGGACCCTTTCAGCTTCAGAACTGCCTTAATTCTTCATGATATAGATTCGACAAGGTGCTGGTGCTCCATATTGACATGATAGCATCTACTGGATTGAGATCTGGTGACTGTGGAAGCCATTTGAGTATAGTGAACTGCTCAAGAAACCAGTTTGAGGTTATTTGAGCTTTGTGACGTGTCATGTTATCTTATTGGAATTAGCCATCAGGGATGGACATGGTCTGAAACATTAGGCTGTGGCATTTAAAAAATGCTCAATTGGTACTGGGGCCCAAAGGTTGCCAAGAAAACATACCTCAGACCATTACACCATCAGCAGCCTGAACCATTGATAAAAGGCAGGATGGATCCATTTTTATTTTTTCCAACAAATTCTGACCCAACCGTCTGAATGTCAAAGCTGACATTGAGACATGTCAGCAATGTTTTTCCAATCTTCTATTATCCAATTTTGGTGAGTCTGTGCAAGTTGTAGCCTCAGTTTCCTGTTCTCAGCTGACAAAGGTGCATCAAGATTCACTTCTGCTTCAAGATTGGACGTGTTGTGCGTTCAGAGATTATCTTCTGCAGACCTTGGTTGTAACGTGGTAATTCGAGTTATTGTCACCTTTCTATCAGCTTGAACCATTCTGACCATTCTCCTCTGACCTCTTGCATCAACAAGGGATTTTCACCGAAAGAAAAGTCCCTCACTGGATATTTTCTCTTTTTCTGAGCATCCTCTGTCAACCCTAGAGATGGTTGTTCATGAAAATCCGGGTACATCAGCAGTTATTCAGACAAGCCATCATCAAGCCAGGTTGTCATCAACAACCATGCCTCATTCAAAGTCACTCAAATCCCTTTTCTTCCCCAATCTGATGCGCAGTTTGAACTTGACCATGTCTACATGCATTAAGTTGCTTGGCTGATTAGATATTTGCATTAAAGAGGGGTTGTACATGTGTAATAAAGTGGTAGCTGAGAGTATGAGAGAATACACGGAGTGCAATTGCAGTTCTCATAAGTCAGTGCAACATTACTTATGTGGAAGTCAGTAAACATACTACTATCTACTTTATATAACCATACAACTACTGTACAGGAAAAAAAATGCTATTCTCATTGTTGTTGAGGCATGCAAACCTACCCTCTTTTTTCATCATATGGTCCTTCCTTTTTAAATGTGGCAGCTTTGATGTTTATCACACAGGGTTATTTTGCTCTTATTGAATTTGTGAGGAATCCCAGCATGGTTCTCAACAGGAAATGAAAAAACAGGTACCCATAGGCTCAATTTTTGAAGAACATGAAAACCTGGAATACATAGAAAGAACATTACAATAGATCATACATTGATGAGTTTTCCTGTCATGGTTAAACAGAATAATACTGTTGCTTTGTCAAGCAACATAATTGACTTGGGTGTTCAGGAAATCATTTATGAATAAAAGAGGATTCAGTGGGCCCCCTAGCGAAAATGCCTTTTTTATTACAAATATAATAAAATAGTGCAAGTTACTTGGTATAACATCTTGTATGTAAAAACCTCCTGTAAAAGCAATATCATTCTCGCAATTGTGCCCTTGTACTGAAGAAAATATGCATTCCAAACAACATAAAACTCACAATTCTTTCACCTACTACTTAAAAATAACCACTGGAAAAGAGCTAGAGGTCAGACATTAGAAAGCCAGGGCAGATCGATCTTCAGTGAGAAGACTTTGAAAAGTATTTGTTAAATGATAAAATATAAAACGTTACACTTTATTTTAAGGTGACATAGTAACATTGTCTTTCCTCAAATAAGTACTGAGTAAAATTAATTAACTACATGTACTATAGAGTTATGGTTAGGCTTTGGTTTAGGGTTAGCTACTTAATTATGCCTAATTACCTGTTATTACTAAAGCAAGTACATGTAATAACATGTAACTACATCACCATAACAAAATGTGTTAAAATTAATTAAAAAAGATGTCAAAAATATCTAAGAAAGAAAAATATGCAATCAGAAAAGCACTACAAAAAACAAAAGAGAAGAGTTTCAAATAATTACAATGGTACTCATTTTGTGTTCCTGGTTTCGAAATAATTTCAATTTCTGCAGTATTTGGTCTTGTTTTGCCGTATTTTTTTCTTTTTCACAAAGATCTTATGAAGGACAGATGGGTAGAACATGTGTTTGTGTCCTCTTATGTGACATAAAAGCGATGTGCCGAAGTCCACAATAAAGCACTGGGGCAGTTTGTCCCAACACATGGTAACCTGTCACAATAAAACTGATAAAAGAAGGACCTCTGCTGGAAGCTCCTCATTTTTGTCCGCATCTTTAAAACAAGGAAACAGGGAGTTGCTTCAGGACATTCTTGACTTGGACATCACAAACTAACAAGAGGACACCAAATAACGTGACAAATGGAAAACACGTGACAATGTCCACTGTGATGTTTGTGAGATCTCGCATTTTGCTTTGTACCAGATCTCACTTAACTGTTCTCATATGAGATCAAAAAGTTAGCCCTACACAACAAGTCAGGAAATCTGTGACTTTCCAGTAACAGCTTATTTTAATTTCAGAGCAGATGATATTTACCATATTGATGTTTATCATACGAATATTAACACAAACTGTGTTTTAAGTCTCATTTGTCCCTCTGGCTATCACAGGGTGATGTTTTAAGACCTTCAAACACTACAGAGGAGCCAGATGTCTCTGAGTGACAATCTCCTAAAAGCGCTGTTTTTATTTTTCATTTATTTGTAGTCTTGTAGAGCTGTTTTGTATCGGTTCTGTGCACAAGAAATATCGCTTTTGTCAGCAGTTTGGTTAATTCAAGCGATGTGAGAGAGTGGTAAAAACGTGGACCTTTAGAGACGAATATGGTCAACGCTGTGACTCTATTTAAGCAAAACTACCTTGATTATAATCTCATAGGATCTAAATTGCATAAGGAGACAATTCACTGTCTAAAATTACACCTTTGTCAAAAGGTACAACAGTGAGAAAGGCCAGAATCTTATGCCATTGTCCAAACCATCACTTTACAGTGTAGACATGTCAGTGAATGCAATGAAAACGTGGAATTTAGTGTGGTCCCACACAACCATGTGTGGGGTTTCTCCGCCATTCAAAATTGCAAGTTAAATATGTTTTGTCCTCTAAGGATGCAGCCAGTGCATAATTAACATTCCCTAGCTGTTTACAGTTGATTATTTAACTCAGTGGTTTTCCCTGGGAGCTGGTGATTATGCTGCTGCTCGACTACTAATAAAGAAACCCCTTTGAAAGTCAAGGCTCATATCAGGGAGATTTGGCGAAGAGGAACCAGTTATTAAAACGGAGACCAAAAGATCACCACCATCCACATTCATGTTATGAAGCAAAGCTAAACTAATAATCGTTGAAGACAACACAACATAAAAAAGACATGACAGACAGACAGACAGACAGATACAGGTAGACAGACAGACGGATACAGACAGACAGACAGATATACAGAAGAACGATCGATAGAACGTTAGAAAGAACAACAGACAGACAGACAGACTGACTGACAGATAGATAGATGATAGACAGGCAGACAGACAGACCGACTGACAGATAGATAGATGATAGACAGACAGACAGAACGTTAAAAAGACAGACAGACAGACAGACAGACAGACAGACAGACAGACAGACAGACAGACAGACAGACAGACAGACAGACAGATAGATAGATAGATAGATAGATAGATAGATAGATAGATAGATAGATAGATAGATAGATAGATAGATAGATAGATAGATAGATAGATAGATAGAACGTTAGAAAGAACAGACAGGCAGACAGACAGGCAGAGTCTGACAGACAGACAGATGATAGTCAGACAGACAGACAGACAGACAGACAGACAGACAGACAGACAGACAGACAGACAGACAGACAGACAGATAGACAGATAGATAGATAGATAGATAGATAGATAGATAGATAGATAGATAGATAGATAGATAGATAGATAGATAGATAGACACACAGACACACAGACAGAGACAGACAGACAGACAGACAGACAGACAGACAGACAGACAGACAGACAGACAGATAGATAGATAGATAGATAGATAGATAGATAGATAGATAGATAGATAGATAGATAGATAGATAGATAGATAGATAGATAGATAGATAGATAGATAGATAGATAGATAGATAGATAGATAGATAGATAGATAGACAGACACACAGACAGATACACACAGACAGACAGACAGACAGACAGACAGACAGACAGACAGACAGATAGATAGATAGATAGATAGATAGATAGATAGATAGATAGATAGATAGATAGATAGATAGATAGATAGATAGATAGATAGATAGATAGATAGATAGATAGATAGATAGATAGATAGATAGATAGACAGACAGACAGACAGACAGACAGATACACAGACAGACACACAGACAGATACACAGACAGATACACAGACAGACAGGCAGACAGACAGACAGACAGACAGATAGATAGATAGATAGATAGATAGATAGATAGATAGGTGCTCACAGATAGAGGTTGGCTAGTACTGTGTGGACCACTGAGTTTGAGGATAATTTCTCACATTGGAGAACAAATCGAATGCACCAATAGATAGACAGACAGACTGACTGACAGGCAGACAAAGCCTCCGAACACTATCTGTCCTCACATAAACACGATTTACAGTTTGGTTGAAGTGCCTATATGTCAAAACATTATCACATCCAGCTACAGAAATCTGGAGTTGGACAGCTTGTAGTCTCATGTTTGCTCTCCCCAGTCTTGCCACATGAACGCTTGCCAGTGTTTACAATTCGATAAGTGCACACAAGTTAAAGGCTTGTGTGCATATCGGCTGGTTTGGTATAAAACAAGCAAACCACACACAAAACTAAACAGGCACATAGTGCTACTTTTTGCCAGGAACATGCAATTACTTGTAGTTTTAAGATCCAAATACTTCCTTTTTTTACACGTTTTCTTTTCCTCTTTGAGAATCCCATTCGGAGGAATAACCACATGTTGCACTGGAAGTGTCTTAAATGTGGTGACGGGAACACAGTGGATGAACTATTAAAATTCCTCTGGGATCATATGGTTGATATACACGAAAGCCATAAGGATCAGTGTCAATTTTCTTTAAGAGATACATGTTGTGTGGACTTCTGAACCCTGAGTGTTGAACACTTTAGGCAACTTATATTACAACAAAGAGCAATTCATGGCCATTTCAACATATTTTTTTTATTATTATTGCATTTATTGTATTTAAAATGTAAGAAATTAATACTTTGATTAAGCAGGGTATACAAAAATATCTTGATTTAAATCAAATGCTTATTTTTTATTGCTTTTTTTTTTTTATTTCTGTGTTCTGTAAAGCACTTTGGTCTGTCTGAGCGGCTGTTTAAATGTGCTATATAAATAAATGAACTTGAACTTGAACTCAAATGCTGTCATTTTCAACTTTCTATTTATCAAAGTCACAAGTTTCCACAAAATTATTAAGCAGCATAAATTGACATTGACACTGAAATTGACACTGCAGATTTAAGGAGAAAATACTCAGCAATGGTGTTGACTTGTGAATTTGCACGTGGTTTGTCTTAAAGCATTAAAAGACATATAAACAACATTAAAAACATAATTTTCACCACAGGGGGACTTTAAACACCTCTGAGGCCACTGTGCTCAAGAGATCAACAAACAGATGCTGCAAAAATGTTGTAAATAGAAACCTTTGACAATCTCTAGCACAAACACAAATATGCATGGGAGCGTTTGCCAAATCTATTTCACCAAAATACTATTATTACAGTTTCAAACAAGGATGCACTTGCTTGTATTTTACATCCTTCAGCAACAAAAGCAACAAAGCAACAAGCCAAATAGATGATTTTCACCAAGTGAAATTGAAACGAATAAGAAGAAGGGTGGTCTTATTATTAATCAAAAGCCATAAACAAAAGAAAGGCAATAAGTGTTGGTTTTACTTGTTGCCAAAGCAGAGATGGGAAAAAGTGTCCCATTGTTGAAAGTGACATAGGGACTATACAACTCCTAAAAAGAGCTCAAAGTAAACCTACACAACAACGGCTCTCACTTCCGATAGCTACAAAATATTTTGATTAGCCTTGACCCCTTTTAAGGATGTTTCAAGAACAAATCACAATTATTTGAAGTGCATCAATGACATTTCTAAGCGTCTACAAGTTGTTATTAACACAAGCTTGAGTTCAGATGGCATGGAATTAAAGCCATTTATGTGAAATCACACTTGCCATGGTTTATTTTTGCCATCTGGTAAACACTGCACTTTTGATATGACCAACAAAGTAAAAATGCAGTGGGACTGATGGAAGCTATTGTTCACATTGAGTTCATCGTGAAATATTTAATTTGCCCAATTTCTTCCTGTTTCAGATGCATTAATTTAATCCAGGAAAACAACTTCCAGTGTTCTTTAGTCTATTGTCTGATGCAAGAATGAATGTTATCTTAAAGCTAGTAAAATACAATACAACATTTTTGATTTTTGTTTTTGAGTGAAAACCTTAACCATTCCATTTATGCATGAGAAACATGCATTAAAATAAGCTCATGTTAAAACAGTGTAATAAAAATGGTTGGAAAATTTATATGCAGTTCTTAAATTTAGGCCTAAATATTTTTTTTCAGTGTACTAAAATATCTGATCGGATGCTGAGATTGACCATCATTGTCAAGTATTCCAGCCAAATCAAATTCATATACTGTAGACCCCCAAACACCATGTAAAAATTATTGTTGGCACTTCACATGTCAGTCAGGCGATAGCTTCCAGTCTAAGTGGCCAGCTATTGTCCAGACAAGCAAATGAACAAACATCTGCTGAGTGCGACTAGTTCTTAGATTTATCACAGTAAGTCATTGATTCAACATCTGTATATAAAGCGATCAAACATATCATAATGTTTCTAATTTAGCACTGGTCACCTCACACTAATAAAAATAATAATGTGAGACAGTAAAGGAGGAGAATGAATGGGACTAGTTCAGTACACAATTGTGGCAGTAAACACTCAATACCACATGCTTTGAAATACTTGAAACCCTGTGATTTGTACAAGTGGTTGGCTCCAAAGCACATATCTTTGAATTTGGGACCAATTTCCTTTTCGGTTAAAAGAGCATTTTTGACAACAACAGGCTTTTCTGACAAAAACCATATCATTGTCAAGATGGTTTTTTTCCTTTTTCTTTTATGTTTTTCCAAAAGGACAAAAACAAGTCATCAAGACAGGGTGAATCATGGCTATTGACTCATAACCTCCACTTCAGAGTGATGTGAACTAGAGGTTAAGAGTGTGTTGAATGCTTAAATATCTCCACAAGAGAGGAACATGGGAAAGAACGTTGAGAGATTAGAGCACCCACTGCGTTTACTGCTTAAACCCAAGTGCACTGGGGATCGAGGTCACGTTTCCAAGAGGATAAGCTGATGACACAGGGAATAGCTACAGTATGATAAGAACACCTGTGAGTTTACAGAGGACATGCTGATATGCTGCTACAAACATATTAACAAGATTGCCAATTGTTCCTTTGCAATGAGGCAGATGTGGTAATTACTAGCATTAGTAAGTTACTTTTATTACACACCTCTCCGTAATACCTGATTCTGATTGGTTAAATGCATCATTCTTGTATTTCTCAGTCAGATATTTTTGTATAATGATATATAATTGTTAAGGTTTATACACTGTAAAAAAAATATTGATGGTTTAACTTAAAAAAGTAAGTACACTGTAAAAAATTATTTTTTGGTTAAGTATATACTAGTGAAAAAACCCAATGTAATTTACTTGAAAAAGTTAGTTCAGGCAAGAATTAAAAAAACTAAGTAAATTCCATATCAGTACTTATTTCAAGCGAGTATAAATGAAAGTGTAATATCAACTCAATAAAATTAAGTAAAAATTACTCAAATTTTCTGATACTGGGGTTCCCATCATGCACTGGACCTTGAATAATGAGGTTCATTTTTCACTGGTTTCCAGCTGTATTTACACTGTTTTATCATTGATTTTTGTTTTCAGTATTAGTAAATTGCCATTGTGTGACATTTCGAGTAAATTTTTTGCTTAAAACGACACATTCAACCACAAAAACGATCTATCAAATGTTACCACCATTGTGTATTGTCTACCAAGTATTGAGGTGTTTGCATTCACATAAGGCTTAAAGTCTGACATGATGTATATATAAATTACTTAAATGATCTAAGTAAAGAACATATTATAAATGACTAATAAAATTCAAGATAATTGTTTTAGGGAAGTGTAATACAAAGGCAAATGAAAATCGGTATTAATCAACCTTTTACAAGCTAAAATTAGTTAAAATTAAAATTACTTATTTTTTGTAAAGTTTACTTAATTCCACATTCCAAGTAAATTTAACTTAAAGATTTCTAATTAAAGCTACTGATAAATATGTTTAGGTTTTTACTTGGCAAATCTTTGTAAATTTACTAGCATTTTCTGAGTGAGATCGTTTAGCAAGGTTTTTTCAAGTAAATCCTACTCCAAATATTTTACAGTGTAACCTGGTTGCCTTAAAATTTTAGGTTCATTGAACTGGAAAAAGTGAGTTAATACATTGAAGGAGATTAATTTAACCATCAGAAACTCAAAATTATATGTTATCTCAAATAAATAAATTATTTACGCTGATTTGACAAAAGAAAAAATGTTGTGATTACTACATTGTAAAAAATATTGTTGGTTTAACTTAAAAAAGTAAGTAACCTGGGTTGCCTTAAAATTTTAAGTTGATTGAACTGGAAAAAGTGAGTTAATACAATGAAGTAGATTAATTTAACCATCAGAAACTCAAAATAATAAGTTATCTCAACTAAATAAATTATTATAAAGTTGATTTTACAAAAGAAAATATGTTGTGATAACAAATCTTGAAAATATTTTTTACAGTGTACAAGATAGCTGTGTAATGTCTCGTGCACTCATGTATAGCTTTTGTACTTAGATAAATACAAAATTTCAGCGAAAATCAGTTTTTCATGCCCATCCTCTTTTTTGATTGTAAAGAAATAGGCAACTTATAGGAATAGTTTCTGTTTTCATTTACTTCACCCTCATGCTGTTCCAAATATGACTTACTTGAAATAGCAAAGGAGACGTTTACTGTAGCAGAATGTTGACACCACTCTTTTCCATGGCATTAAGGTGATGGGTCATCATGGGGTTTCAAGCTGCAAAAAAAAGACGAAAAGCAGATAAAAGTAGTCCACAAACTATATTTCCTATACAAATCTTTTGAAGGCTTGTAACTTGAAAGAGGAAAATAATTTAAAATATAATGTGAAAATGTGAAATTCCTCATGTGAAAAGAGACTGACAGATTCTTTCTGTTGTATTCTAAGGGTAATAAATATTGAATTTAGGCAATAAGAAGGATGTTCTGAATTAAAAAGTTGTCTTTAGGCCTCTAAACTTCAGTCCACCTTCAAACAAACAAAGTGTTTCAGCAGTTATTTATCGCATTAGAAGAAAAACAAATGAGCTCAAGGTTAGATTATGAAAAGGCCTCTGTCAGTGTATCTGTAATCCCACAAAAATGCCAAACAGAACGTCTTCAGCTGTATCCGTCTGTCACACTTTTTCAGAGATAATAGCAGGTGGCAACAAACCAGATAATGAATGAACAAAAGAACATTGTTACCGACATATCCAAAGCCAATATTTTTGCATGCTCACCTGCTCATAACCAACACAACTTAACAACTGTGAGAAATAAAGCTGAACTGACAATGCCAACATCATTTGAAACATCATCAGCATCTTTAAAAAAAAATGCATTTGTTAATGGCTTTTGTCTAATTTGTGTCCGATTGTGCCACATTGAAACACTTCTGATTACTTACATTCATTCAAACGTTCTATTGTCCTCTGCAGGCAGCAATAAAACCGTACTGAACAAAAGCATGACTCAGATGCATCTCCATCTGATTTGTAATCACACCAAGCTTTAGGATAGGATACAGTACACATTTGTGTAAGAAATGTATAACTTTATTAAAGAATACTATGATAAAATGTCACAAAACATGCTTGTAATATCTGGAAATCATTTAAAGATGATTCTAAAAAACAATCTTCTCAATGCTGAGAGTAAGCGACTTGAAATCTGCCAATATTGCTTAGCCTTATGGGCAGTTAGTTCTGTGGTTGTTTTGAAGCAATCATCTGAGCTATAAATGCCATGAGAAGACCAGCTGAAAATCATATCATGAAAACACTGGCTGGGTAATTGCACCATAAAAAAACATGCAAATCCCCATTCCCTTCACTAGTGACAAACCTGAGCCCTATATAAAAAACTATCTACTATAAAATAATGAAACAACTTGTGATATTGCTTGCAACAAACAAAAATCGTCAGAATGCACAGTAACTTTTGAATAGCCGTTTTGCTGCCAAATGATACAGCATCTACAACACAGTATCTACCAGCATGGGCCACGCACTTGCCTGACGGCAAGATATACACTACCATTCAAAAGTCAGTAAGATTTTTTTTTTTAAAGAAAAAAAGAAATTTATACTGTATTCCACAATGACCGATGAAATTGAAAAGATATTTACAAAGTTAAAAGATTTCTATTTAAAGCAAATACTGATCTTTTGAACTTTCCGTTGAAAAAAAAATGATCATGGTTTTCACAAAAATATTAAGCAGCACAACTTGGGGAGCATCCTTGTGGAGTATAAAATACTTTCAAAAGTAAATAGGATTACAAAACATAAAACAACAAAACATATAGGATTATATTTAGCAGCATCTGACCAATATTGATATGGGTTGCACCAACTGACAAAAACATAAAACCAAAGAAAAGTATATTATTCACTTGAATAGATACTGTGTCTGAATGGGTTAACAAACCCAAAGGTCTGGTGGTAAAAACTGGCAGGTTTTATACCTTCATGTTCAGCAGTGGCTGTATTTCTTCTGAACCTATAGAGGACACCCAAGTTGATGCCTCTAAAATGGTCACACTCCGTATCATATGCCAAAACAAGTCGTGGACCACGGGGGATAGAGTTGGATGTCAAATCGCCTGTATTAAAAACAGCTTTGCTTAGAAAATAAATCCAGACAGTGGGTGGAGGACCAGACTTGCCCAGATCAAGTGGCTGGAGCTTAACAACTCATTCCTGAACGAAAAGCATAAAACCTTCAAAAGCTTGAAAATTGTGTGTAGTTCTTTATGCTGGATATGATAAGGGATGGTTAAGATGTTAGCGACACGACACATGTACAGCACACATGTGCACAACAATGTACCAGAGAGTTGAAATCATATATCTAGTTTCCAAAAATGCAATGTGCAGATCAAACAGGCAGCTGTTTAGTTTATTTACATTTTAGGCCACAGATTGTTGAATTCCATTCTCAGTGGAACTGTTGTTAGTTCATTTTAGCCACAATATCATGCAATGCAACTGGAAGATTAACAACAGCCAAGCAATTCATTTTTGGTGTCGAAGTCAATTAAAAATAAGGCAATATGGATGTGATCATTAGAACAGACTTATTAATGTTCTCGCACTACTTTCAGACACTTGCGATATAGTTGATAATAATATATAATAAAATAATATTGTAAGTCAAACTGTAAGACTATCCTTACTTCTATTTTACAGTAAGATTTTTGGCTGGTTAGTATGGCTCATTTAGCCCCTTCTGGTAGATGCTGTAATAACAAACTCCGCCGAGGAAAAAACACATTTTTTCCAATTATCATTTAATTGTAATTGCACATTTAAAAAAATATGTATTATTACTTGATATTATATTTTTAATATTTGCTTTTATCATGCCTCACACTGAAAAAAAACTCTCATTTTTTTTACTCATTTTTGCATTGTGGTCAATGGATCTGCTGTGGTCCTATTGAGTAGACTCGCTTCCTTGGTCAAAAGTGAGGGGTCAAGGGTCTGTCCATATAAATGTATGTATGTCTAAAAGTGGATTTAAACACAGCCAAGGTCTTGCATGCTAGAAACTTCCAGGCAGGTGTGTTGAGGCGAGCTTGAAGCTAAACTCTACAGGAGTGTGGTCAACCCCGACAAAAACATTCGTAAATGAAGACATTAACCTAAGAAGCAATATGACTTATATGGTTGTTGGGTTGTTTTTTTTATTTGTTTGTTTTTGTTGTTTTTTTGTGGAAAATTGTTTAACATTTTTGTGAGTTTTTGCTTTAAACTGTTTTTATTTTTCTTACCCCATTGGCAGATATTTGTTCTTGTTTTAAACAATCATCTTGTTTTTACAAACAAGACTTAATATCTTAAAAGAGAACTTTGGTGAATTTTAACATTGAGCTCATTTTTAGTACATTTGGAGAACTGTCAGTACAGACAACAGTCGCACCTTGTTGACTTAAATGGGGCAAATTCTAAACCTGCTTTTAGCCTCTTAACATCCTTGATTTGTCATTACAAGTGCACGGCCATGTGAGTGGTGTTATTAAGAGTGACCACGGACTGCAGTAGATGTGAAAGATATTTATAAAAATGATGTTAATTCAGCCAGCTCACATACCTGTATTTACTTCCTGTTTTCGGTCGAAGTCCACAGTAGCAAGCAAAGTCGTTTTAGGCAAGTCATGCCACTCGGCCGCCATCTTGGCAAAACCTCCGGGCAGCTATTACGGACCTATTTAGACCTGGCTCTATCTAAATGAATGAGCAGAGAGTCAGAACTGCACTTTCACTGGTCACCGGGACATAAAACCTGCATGTATAGAAACAGCAGTAAAATATAATAAAAATCGCTGAAAAATGTTGATGACTTTGTCCCAAAAATAAGGTTTAAAACGCCGTTTTTGCCACAGGTTATACTTTTACTGCGCATGAGTAATGGTTCACGCGCTCTGTCGCGCGCGCTGCACAGTTTGAAATGTGCGCGCTCTTGCTCGCTCTAGATTCTGGGAGATTTGAACTACGGTCATCAGCGAGCCTCTATCAATCTGCGGGAGACACCCAGAACTTCTGAGAGACTTGGGATGTCTGATATATTTACACAACGCACACATACACTGCATATCAAATCTGCCGCCTTTTCAAACAGTAACAGTTTCCCGGCCTGACCGTTAAAGGAGACGATTGGCTGTCCAACGGGAGGGGCGGGGCATTTGCATACAACCGCCATTTTTGGTGTAGGGTTGAGGAAGTGGCATGTCTCTAGAGTCTAGACAGTAGTCGATTGTCCAGTTTACGCGCGCGATCATTGGTAACTAAGCAACAGTGGAGACTCACTCTCATGATAGTCACAGAACACCACACAACACAGTCATTGGCTGACAGCTGACACAGTCTCCACTGTTGCTTAGTTACCAATGATCGCGCGTACTGACAGCACTCCAAATGTACAAAAAAAAAATGAGCTCATTGTTAAAATTGATTGGAGTTTATTATAGTAAGTATATGCTTTAAGACTATTTAAGAAGATTTAAGAAGATGTAGATATTTGTGCTGGAAAACAAGACAAGATTACTACATAAACTTTTTGCAGTGCAGGGATCAATGAGCTATCTTATCTTAATTACATATCCAATACGTATTATTAAATTAATTTTCTGACAGATATGAGAACTTTGAACCCTCAGAAATCCCACACTCTCAGGCAGGTCATTTTAAATGGTAATTCCCATGTAGGCTAAAGTCATTCTCAGCACACACAGCTCGTCGAACCTCCTGGTTTGCGGTCTGCCAGGGATATTTTAGTGGTTACAACTTGTACACAGTTGGCTGTTCCTCTGTATTTACTGCCTCCGTGTTTATGGGGAAGTGCTGAATATGCATATGAGACTCAACAGGAGTCTTAAACCTGGCATCATCAAATACCTCCCTCTGAATCCACTCTCTGTACCAGGTCTTTCAATGAAGAGGGATTCACATTTCTTCACTATAACCCAAATGAGAAACACCTGGCAAGGTAAAGCCTCATAACTTGCTCTCTTGAGGGTATTTAGCACCCTCAAGTGTATTGAGCATCTGTCCAACATTTAAGCCTATAGTGAACTAACTTGCTGCCTGACTTTCTGCCTTCTAAGGCAGCATCCTAAACACTGCGAAACCTCTAAAATCTTTCATTTTTTTGGAAAGTCATAGAAATACAATTGTGAATTTGTTATTGGAGCAAATGGAAACCCCAAAAATTATATTTGTTGTATTTATTTTT